AATGACTTTACTATAGTCCATGTGGAATCATCTTTGTGGAGTCCCATCTTCTTTTTGAAGACTTTAAAGTCACTATTAGGCATGGTCATGGTTCCCTGAAGTTTTTTTTTTGTTTTTTTGTGTTTTTTTTTTTTTTTTGTTTTTGTTTTTTTTTGCCTCCTCTGAGGTTTGGAGTAATCACAGTCTGATAAATGTCTGTCTCTCGGAACCATGAACATTCTTCCCTAGAACAGAAAATCTTCACAGCAATTTCTCCCCACCATTTGTCTTGCCAAACTTTTCCAAACTGACCTTTGCCAATGCTTTCTTGTAACACGATGGTCCTGGCAATTCTTCTCTGAACCAGCAGCAGTAAACCCCGTTGTCCCAGGTTGCAGCATCATTGCAGTCACCAACATGATGAGAAGAAGCCAGCAACTCGGAGTAGCAGCCACTGCCTCCATTGTCCCACCACTATTTGTGGTTCGGTCCTGGCCGAAGCTTCTCCCAAGCCTCCTAGGCCAGCCTCAAACTTGGGATCCTCCTGCCTCTGCCTCCTTCAGTAAATCCTACCGGCGTGCACCACCACAACTGGCAACATATAGCTCCAGTCTGAGCTGGGGCCTGCAAGGCCCTAGCCAACTAGCTTTTTCAAGAATTCGTAACACAAACGTTGGGCGCCAGATGTAGCATGAATCTTAAATGTTCTTATTAATAAAATCAAACCCAGGGCCAGTTGTTGGGGTGAAATGCTGGAAGGTCAGAGAGACAGAACAAACCACAGCTAACCTCACCTGGCCAACTTCTCAGCTGGTCTTGTTTCCTCAGACTGGAAGCTTCTGTGTCCTCATCCCAATGGCTCTCAGCTGAACTGCTGCTAGAAGCCCAAATGCTTAACCAGGCAAATGCTTAACCAGCCTAATGCTTAACCAGCCAAATGCTTAACCAGCCAAATTCTTCTAGCTTCTGGTCCTCACACCTTATAAACCTTTCTGCTTTCTACCACCACTCCCTGGGATTAAAGGCTGCTTTCTGGGATTAAAGGCGTGAGTACCATGCCTGGCTGTTTCCAATGTGGCCTTGAACTCACAGAGATCCAGAGGGATTTCTGTCTCTGGAATGCTAGGATTAAAGGCGTGAGTGCCACCATTTTCTAGCCTCTGTAATCTAGTGGCTGTCTGTTCTCTGACCCCAGATAAGTTTATTAAGGTACACAATATTTTGGAAAACACAATACCACCACATACACTGGTTTAATAAAACACTGATTGGCAAGTAGCCAGGCAGGAAGTATAGGCAGGGCAAGCAAATGAGGAGAATTATGGGAAGAGGAAGAGTTGAGTCAGGAGTCACCAGCCAGACACAGAGGAAGGAAGGTGACAAGGCAGAACTGAGAAAAGGTACCAAGCCATGTGGCTAAACATAGATAAGATTTATGGGTTAATTTAAGTGTAAGAGCTAGTCAGCAGTAAGCCTAAGCTAATGGCCAAGCAGTTATAATTAATAAAAGCTTCTGAGTGATTATTTTATAAGCAGCTATGGGACCACAGGGCTGGACAGGACTGGAGATACCTTCAGACTACAATGGGTTGTGCTACATGATTATAGAAGTTCCTCGAAAGCAACTGAGAGACAAGAAAATATATACTATGATCCCTGAAAGTAACAAATATAGGATGGAATTGTAAGTAAGCTATGATGTCAGTATGTAGCCCTTGCTCTGGGCAATAAGTAACTGAGCAGGCAGTCCAGAAAAAAAAAAACTTGCCTGAATAAAAGAGGAAGTCCAATGAGGAAAAGATATGTGGATGCGTGGTTTGTCTGCATGAACAATGAAAGGTGATGACACAATATCCTGAGTACAAATCTAAACTGTGATAATGAAAGGAGTGATCCAAGTAGCAGGTGACATAAGATAGGAATGTAGCAGACTTTAAAACATAATATAATAGAGATGGTTTCCAACTTGATGAATGAGATGAAAGCTTAAGGAATCACTAGGGTCTGGTGAACATAATCACTCCTACTAATCAGATTTCAATAGCAACGTTGTTGTTCAACCTATTGAAAATAGCACTCTTCCTTAGCTGAGGAACTCTTGATAGCTGATGGCTGACTGGGGAGGGAGAGTCAGTTTTCACTAAGTGAATCATGCTGAGTATATGGGCAGCACAAACTGGACTCAACCAACATTTTTTTAATTAAAACTAAAAAAGAATACATGAAGTTAGGAGGGGCTGGGGTGGATCTAGGAAGAGTTAGGAGAAGTGGAGGAGTTAAATATGATCAAAATGTATAATATTCATTGTGACATTCCCAAATAATTAATAAAAATTTTGTGTTAAAAAAGAAAATAAAGCCAATCGTAGTTGTTCATACCTTTAACCCAGTACTCAGGAAGCAGAGGCAGACAGATCTCTGTGGTGATGTAATGTATCCTCCAATATATTGTGTCTCCCAATAAAATTTACCTGAGGATCAGAGGAAAAGGCCAGGCTAGTAAACATAGAATTCAGGCAATGGTAGCACACGCCTTTAATCCTATCACTTGGCAGCAGGGATCTGTCTGGATCTCTGTGAGTTCAAGGCCACACGGGGAACAGAGCCAGGTTTGGTGGCACATGCCTTAAATTCCAACACTAGTTAACCATGGAGGTCTGGAGGTCTGCACAGTCAGACGAGAAGTGACAGAGCTGGCAGGAAGAGGAAGTGATGTAACTGGGCTGAGAGAGCAAATGAGAGAACAGAACAGCAAGGTATATCGGTGTGGGTAGACAAGAAGCAGCTTGCTTTTCGAAGCTGCAGAGTTGGTTAAGTGAAGTTCCCACTCCTCTGATCTCTTTCAGGCTTAACCCTAATTTCTGGCTCCGAGTTTTTTTTTTTATTAATAAGACCATTTAGCAATTTGTGTACAGCTCTCCATGAGTTTGAGGCCAGTATGGTCTACATAGTGAGTTCTAGAACAGCCAAGGCTTTGTAAGAGACCCTGTTTCAAAAAGAAAAAGAAAAAGAAAAAGAAAGAAGAAGGGAGGCAGGGAGGGAGGGAGAGAGGGAGGGAAGGAGGGAGGGAGGGAGGGAAGAAGGAAGGAAGGAAGGAAGGAAGGAAGGAAGGAAGGAAGGAAGGAAGGAAGGAAGGAAGGAAGGAGAGAGCACCTAATACTCCCACTCCACCACAACTATCCATTCTTCCCACTCCTGAATTTTCTCCAAATGATTGTCAAGAATACGGAAGATCTGAGATTTTAATCTTACTTGCAAACTAATAAACTAGCTCAATATGTTTTATACATGGAGGTTAAAAAAAAAGAAATCTCTGAAACTTCTCGGTTAGGGATGAGTGAGAGTTTATTACTTGTGACAATACCTGTGGCCAAAGTAAGGTCACTTTTGAGTCAGTTGCTGCATTTCTAGCTTCCAGAACATGAAGTGAAACAATTCAATGGCACATGAACATTTAGTAGGTACAGTCAAAGGAGAAAAACTTTGAGTATTGGAAACCCAGATTGTTTGCAATGGATAGTAAGCATGGCTGCCTCTATGACAAGAGGGAGAGGAGCTGTTTACTTTAGTAGACATGTTTCATATTTCCTTGGAGGGAGCTACAGTCTCCACATGCCAAGACTATTCACTGTACAACTTCTTAAATAAATGTAGAATAAAGGCAGTCAGTACCTTTTGTTTGTGTCATGTACAACAACATAAGAAATCCTAGCAGGTAGATAGTCCTATGGTCCTACCCCTAGGTATAGAACTCATGCCAATTGTTAGTGACAGAAGAGGATGTGACAGTTTCTTCTAACTGTGTATCCCTTTAGAAGCTGACTGCACTCCAGTGGAAGACCACACATCCAAGATTATTTTGGCAGCACAAATTGATCTTGAAAGTGTTTTGGGGTTTTTATTTGTCATTTGTTTGTTTGTTTGGTTTGGTTTGGTTGTTTTTTCAGGACACAAAGTTTTAGATGGGTAGGGAAGGGGAATGGATCTGGGAAGAGCTGGGAGTAAGAATGAGCACAATGCATACAAAATTCTCAAAGAACTGATTTTTTAAAAAAAATAAAGAACAAAATAAATAAGTAAATAGAAAAAGATAAAGAAAACACAAAAAGAAATAAAATAAAAATAAATAAAACCTCAAAAAGTAAAATTTAAAAAGATGTAAGAGACCAGGCAGATTTATTTTCCAATAGATGTTTATTGATTTCTTTTTTTTTAACTGTTAGTTTTACTTTTTAATATGCATATGTTGGGGAAGGCAAGTAGGTGCACATGAATACATGTGCCCAAAGAGGACAAAAAGAGCTGGAGTTACAGGCAATTGTAAGGTGCCAACATGGGTGCTGGGAACCAAGAGCAGTGCACACTCTTCCCCTCTGAGCCCTCCCCAGCATACCCCCCACCCCATTTCTCATTGAATGCTTCTGGTTTTATTTTGTTGGAAGCCTACTTCTTTCAGTAGACTTTCATACTCAAAACATTTACATGTAAACTTAGCCTAATTTTTCCCTAATTTATTATAAAACAATGCTTCAGGAAAAAATATATTCAAAAAAGTTTTACTAGAAAGAAAAAAGAGTGCATGCCACTGCCAACAAGTAAAATTACCCAAATCTGCTTTAATAACTAGGAAACTAAATAAGTTAATAAGACCCATTTCTTTACAATCAGAAAAGTGCTCCAAAATTCTTGAATAATGTTCAATAACTTGAACAAAATACATTTTAAAATTATATGATCCATGTGTTGAAAATGATTTTAATTTTGTAAATAAAAATGTAGACATGAGATTGCACAAAAATCAAGGAAGCTACATCAAATATTTCCTTTTACTTTACAAATTCTCCAACTTGTGTGTTATTTTTAATCATCAGGACAAACAAATGTCCTCTCTTATGATTCATAGTTTTGTGACAGTAGACAAGCACCTGGAGGCAGGAATACTGCTTCTCCACCACTCCACCAAATACAGATACACGTTATCTGGAGGGAGGAAAAGCTCTGTCATGTTTAACAGCTCATGCTCAATATTCTTCCAAATATGGATAGTAAGGGTGATCCACCGCACTGAAAGAGAAGAAGAAACACTTGTTTGCTCACAAGTCACACTTCCGATAGACAAAATGAGGAGAGTCATCATTTGAGGACCCAGACAAATTTCAGTGGACCCTGCCTTGCTAAATGCAATGGAACACATCAGCAACTAAAGTTGTGGATCAACTGGTTTCATTATTTTCTTCTTAAAATCTTATTGTTATTATGTGTGTGTGCCAAAACATACATGTGGAGGTCAAAGGATGGCTCTGCAGAGTCAGTTCTCTCCTTCCACCTTCTGGGGATTGAACTCAAGTTGCTGAGCTTGCATAATAAGCTTCTGTATCTACTGAGCCCCATTTCATGATTTCCTATATTTCAAGTTAGTAAGACCATGTAACTAAAGAAATCGGCATGTGATGGGAAAACAAAAGTTGAGGAATAGATAAATGTTTGGGAACAATAGATGTAGCTTGGAAAAGAATTGGCTCAGGGCAAATGTCAATGGACACAGAAAGAAGGAAGCTGAAAGAGAATTATGTTTTCCCTAGGACTTATTCATATCTTCTTTGAGAGTCCATCTTCCACAAAGATTATTTAAAGTACATGTTACCCTGCTTTAGTACAAAGTTAGAATAGGCTTGATGCATTAATGTATATCCATTATTATTGAATTCTCTTTTAGTTCTTTTGATTTTAATACACATTAATGAGAAAGCATTTTCATGGGCCTCTTAATATATCATGAGATAATCTGCCTCTGTGTCAAATGGGCAGGTGAACCCTAATGACATTTATTTTGGCTGAAGGTCACCGGGCATTTTTTAACATCAGTTCACAGTGACACAACTTTGATCTTTTTTAGGAAACAAGGTCCACCTGTGTTTAACTTGAACTCACTGTGCAATAGAGGATGACCTTAAACTTCTGATCCTCCTGTTTCCATCTCCCAGGGGTTGAGAATAATGCTATAGGCTGTCATGCCCGTTTTTATGTGGTGCTTGGGAAGCACTGTACCAACTAAACTGTAGCCCCAGCTTGGCCAGTTTTGAAATGAGGTTGATCCTGAGTCTCACTACATGTCATGAACTTAAAAAGAAATCTCTCTCTTCTAAGGTCTATAGGGATGCATTTGTTGCAAACATATTCTGAAAATCAGGTACATCTTCTGTAATGACACTATATTGAAAAACTATCATGTGTTGTTTAAGCTCACTGAAAAACTGGCTCTGGAAGCAGAGTAGTCACTTCCCTCATTTAAGACCCAAAGTATTTTTGTCTCAACATAACCTCCAAGGCCCCAAAAATCTCTGAGAGGGAAAGAAGAAAGCAGTAAAATAACCCAAGTGTGAAAATTTGCTTTTGAGAACAGGGAGAGGTTTCCATAATATGAAAGTGCCTCCTGTGGGACAAAGAAGCCAGACGTTCAGCCGTGGGAACTGCCTCATCTTCCTCTGTGACCTACATATAACAGACTTTCATATACTGTCCTTCTGTGAACTTTGTTCCCAGAGCACTTTGTTTACTCCCATGAGGAGAATGTCTCTACCTGCCAAAAAATGTCAAGGGTAAGATATGGCCCCTCCCTTACTCAGCTGTGCAACTTAGTATGCTCAAGGACAGTATTCAAACAACCCCATGCAGCCAAGACATCTTTTGCCTCCTGAGCACGGCTAGTGATAAGAAATAGTCTGAATGTTTTCCATTGTTTCTCTCTCCCTCCTTTGAACTCTGAGCTATCCAGAATAGAGAAAGCTTCACAGAATGCCAGTGAAGGCCCTCTTGAGCAGCAGAGCCTAGAGTCCCCCGGTTCTGTTGAATCTTGAATTGGACTTAATTCCTCCTAACTAGTGGACTTCCATATTCCCAGGTTTCTGCTGGTTGTTATAAGCACCCATTTTGATAATGTTATCTCTGTCTTCTGCTATTTGTTCTAGTTGGAATCCTCACCCTAGGGGTCATTCTTTTCTGCTCAAGATTAAGAAGTAAAGCTGACTGCCTCAACTTCCCCAGTTGGTTTTTGCTTGATGTTTGTAAGCATCCAATTTAACAATGTTACTTTTCTGCTGTTATGTGTCCTTTTACCTAGAAGCCTCACCTGAGTAGACCCTGTGCTCTGCTCAGGACCTGAGAACTCAGCCTGGTTGTTTTAAAGGTGCTCTCTCAATCAATTTCTGGATATTTTGAGTGCACAATTTAATCGTGTTTGCAATCTATCTTTCTACCTATTGCTACTTATTTTACTTTGACTTGCTATATATATATGTGTGTGTGTGTGTGTGTGTGTGTGTGTGTGTGTGTGTGTGTGTGTGTGTAATAAACTCACTGACTCAAAAGCAAAAGTTTAGCTACATTGGTCATTCCCTGGATCCTACAGAACATCTTCATGGCTCGTCTGCATGTTACAGAAAGCAAACAACCTATAAAGCAGTCTAGAGGATGTACTTACAATGACATTTTAGCATATCGAAAATTTTTATTGAGGCCATCAATCATTTTCATGTCCTCTGGGGTCAATTCAAAGTCAAACACCTAGAAAGGAAGACAGTCACAAAATAAAATAAAATAAAATAATAAACAAGCCATTGAAGTGGCCTCCCACCTGGGAATATATGGGGGATAGCAACAAGGGTCTCAGAACATTTGGGTGAGCATTGCAGCCCCCTCCTTTCCCATTCCTTTCCCACTTTGATCCATATCACAAAAGAAAGACTCATCAATCCCTAATCTTAAGTAAGACAGGAAAAAAAGAACTCCCAATTTAATTTTCAAATCTAGATGAAATACTAGATTTAGCCTCACCAAAATTAGCTGAACTTTTCTTCCTTTGCCATCATGGAGTTTGATCCAGCTTTGACTAGAACCCACCCAATCCTAGAGCATAGTCTAACTCCTCTCCAAGACTTGATTGAGTCGAAGAAAAATCATCCCCTGATCAATTGTTAACAATACACTTGGTCATCACATGTTCTCAAACATTATCTATGTCAATTCTTTTTTATCAAAAGAACCTTTCTGATTGATCACTGAGAAAATGGATCCTATATTAAATGATTTCTCCTGTCTGCATCAGTCTCTCTTACTCAAAACCATCTTTTTTTGTATTTGATAATATGGAGTTCCCAATGGAAAGTGCTTTAATAGAAAAGCACAGAGAGCTTTGGTAAAATATGCTGTCCATTACCTCATCAGGAAAAAAGGTCATCAAAAATTCAAGATTGTAGTATGCAGACAGAGCTTAGTAGGTAAGATCATTTGCTGTATGAGCATTGGGACCTGAGTTCAAATCTTGGCCCCCATACAAAAAAGCAAGTCATAACTGTGCCTATAACCTCAGTACTATAGAGTGGAAGAGACAGCAAGACTGTTGGGGCTTGCAGGCTGTCAGCCTATTCTCATATTCAATGAGAGCCTGTCTCAAGACAATAAGGCAGGGAGTAAAGAGAGGAGTACCCAGTACAGGACATACACAACAACACATACACCATATACACACACATTAAAAAAAACCCTCAGGGTCCCATCTATCTGTCTACTTACCTACTACATATCATAGATGATTTTGTTAATTGGAGACAGACTCTCATGTAGCCCAAACTGACCTCAAGCTTGCTCTATAGCCAAGAATGCCTTAAGCTTTCTGATTTTTTCCCTTTTGTTTGTTTGTTTTTTGTTTTTTTCTTAAATATTTATTTATTGTTTTACATAGAACTTTCTGATATTTATATATAATTTACATATATGTATTTATATGAAAATTAAATATATCTATCTAATCATTTGTCTATTAAAGATATCTGTGATGGTTAATATTAACTGTCAACTCGACAGAATCTAGAATCATCAGTGAGATGGATCATAGGGCATGCCTGTGTAGGGTTATATTGATTATGTTAATTGACATGAGAAAACCCATATTAATTGTGGGTAGGATCATTCCCTGAGTAGGAAATCTTGGACTGCACAAAGAGAAGAGCTGAGCATGCATTCAAGCATTCAACCCTCTATTTTTTGACTATAGCTACAATGTAACCAGTAACTAGCTCCCTCAGGCTTCTGCCACTAGAATTGTTATGATACAGCATGCAGGAGGCCTTGGCCGGTTGGGCCAAGGTGCCCTGGTGGGTGAGGGAGACATGCCATGCAGACACAGTAGCAGTGGAAAGTTACTCACACTCCAGGCACAGCATCCCCATGGAAGTTTATTTGGAGGGGAGGGGAGAGGGAATGGAGGGAAAGAGAAAGGAGAGAGAGAGAGAGAGAGAGAGAGAGAGAGAGAGAGAGAGAGAGAGAGAGAGAGAGAGAGAAACACTTCCTGGGAATAGAAAGGAGAGAGGGAGGAAAGAGGATGAATTTTCCTTTTAAAGGGGACTTTATGTCAGGACACAGGGAGGGTCCCCAAGGGGCGGCCAGCTTACCAACAATAATTTCCCTGTGATGGAGACTGTACCCTTGAAGTATGATTCAGAATAAACTCTTTCTTCCTAGAGTTGTTTTTGTCAGGATATTCTATCACAACAATAGGAAAAGAAACCAAGACACTGTCTGTGCCTCTATCTATCAGGAGTTCATCTTAAAAATATACTCTTTAAGAAATACGGCTGCCATGGAGCCATCTGTTAGCACGCTGTTGTATTTTAAAATAAAATTATTATCAATAAAACGTATAATCATGTATCAAATTCATTCATAAGAATAAAGTTAACCAACAGCTCCAATATTTTTAATAAAATGTTGCTAATGTTACCTTTTATAAATATATTCATGATAAAATTTTTAGCTGTCATCTTAAAACTACTCAAATATTTGAGTCTATGGGGTACATTTCTCATTGAAACCAGCGGCAGGTAATGGTGCTTACTGACACCTTGTTCCACCCTGAGATCCACATAGTAGAAGGAGAGGAACAACTCCTATAAGTTATCCTCTGGCCACCTACTGTGTGCTGGTGAGTGTGCCCTCAAACACAAATACACACAGAAACTAAATTAAAGGGTAATTTTTTTAACCTTATGAGATTCTAGACAAAACAAATGAAAACCCACTGATTGATATGAGAAACTAGCTAGTGTCTATATGAGAAAGCATTTAAGGACTAACTTTAATCATTGATTTCTTTATAGGGTCAGTCTATAAATTCATCTAGCGCCTTTTCTGCCAAGAGAAACTCCAATGACAAAAGGAGAAATGGCCATATATAATATCCCATACTTCAGAAAGTAAACCAGCATATAACTAAATAATTGTAAGTTAATGAAAAACTCACACAGAGCCATGCCTGGTACTACGGAAGTTAAAAAAAAAATGTATTGGAATATTTCAACAAGCAGTCCTATTTGGATTTAATCTTAATTCAAATTGTTATCCTTAATACAAATAGGGATTTGTAAAGCAAAGAATGTAAAATAAAGTTCTCTTGCATCTGAAAGGACTCCAACAACCCACTGAAGTAATAGAGCCGAAATACATCTTGTTAAAGAACTCGTAAAAGACAAAGTCTAGTGTGGAGGAAACCCAGCCTTTTTACCCAGTGCTTTCTCTGCTGCCCTTTCAAGCTGCTGTCTGCAGCACACAGGGGCAATGCCTGGGAGTGAATAAATAGCATGTTCTCGACTTTCAGGGAATTGCCCCCCAGGTCTCATTCTGGAGTAGTGCTATTGGACATTTACCTGGAAGTTCTCTTTGATTCTCTTCTCGTTGAAGCTCTTTGCCAAAACCACCACACCCCTCTGTAGCTGGTAGCGCAGGGCAACCTGGCCTGGAGATCGGTTGTGTTTCCTGGCGATGGTCTTTAAGACAGGTTCCTCCAGGAGGTATGGGCTATCACTGTTGACCCTGGGGAAAAAAAATAGACAAAACACACACACACAGATGACGAATCTGTAGTATGCTGCCACCTCACCCATATTCCCAGACCATTAAAAGAAGTAAGCACAATACAGTATAGTTAAAGCAGAATTTTGTGAGTAATGATGGAGATTTATTTTTTATTGTAGCAATTGTAAGCAACTAAGTTACCCATTGAGAGATAAGAAGATAAACACTGTGTAGGACATGTGTCCATGCAATGGAATATTTCAGAAATACAGATACTCCCTTTTATCCTCAGGGGGTCTTATAGCACTGATCTCTATGTGCATTATACATACATATATATGAAATGATACCTTTTCCGACTTCAGTAAGTGAATCTTATGTTTGGTGGTATAACAAAGCTAGCAAGAACTTCCTTTTCCTTCTTGACAATTTCAGGGATAGAAGATTCATTCTTACCATGGATCTTAGACACCTCTGTATATAAATTTTCTCTTTTATTAAGCTGAGAACTTTCCCATTTTCATATGAAGTAAGTGTTTCTCTTTGCCCTATCCAAATTGCAAACATCACTATTCTCATGCTTTTGAGCCTTTATTAAGTGAGATAAGGGTGACTTGAATGCAAGTCCTGCCATGCTATGATGGTTGTCCTGATAAACCAGACAACTAACAAGTGAGTAGCATAATGGAGTAGATTTGGTGAGAATACATTAAAAAAGGATATTTCTTACCCTTGGTAGCATGTCATTTCATCAAGTTACTTAGAATAATATGCAATTTAAAATAAAGAATTTCTTATTTCTCAAATTTTTCCTTTGATAATTTCAAGCTTCCATTAATTGATAACTAAAAGTATGGGAAGGAAAGGAGAGAGAGAGAGAGAGAGAGAGAGAGAGAGAGAGAGAGAGAGAGAGAGAGAGAGAGAGAGAGAAAGGGAAGGAGGGAGGGAGGGAGGGAGGAAGGAGTCATGGAAAATGCTATAAAATTAATGAACTACAGGTAATTGTGATCACACTGGCCACCAAAGCACAGATATGTGAATTCCAGATAGGAATGGGAGCATAAGTCTGTGCTGTAGCGCTCGGAAAATTGAAGCAAGAGGTCCTGATCCATGAGTTTGAACACAACATAGCATGATCCTATTTCAATCTATGCCCCTCACCCAAAGCACAAGATTCCTATAGAATAGGCAAAACTTCTCTAGAGCAAAAGAACAGTATAAAAACTGTCTTAAAAGTGATGAAAAACTGTCTCAGAAGGAATAAGAACTTCAAAAGACATATAAAAAGTTGTTTATTGTGAATATTTATTAACTTCTGTTTTATTTTGTTTTACTTTAGAAAATCGAGTTTCCACATTAAACGTTACACTCTATTAAAAGCACAGGACAAGAGACAATGTCTTTGACAGCCATCAAAATGTCTTCTTTCCTATGCTTCACCTTAGTTATGGTTTCTATTGCTATGATAAGGCATCATGACCAAAAGAAACCTGGGGAGGAGAGGACTTACCTCATCTTACACTTCCACATCACAGTCCATCATCAAAGGAATGCATAGCAGGAACTGAAGCAGAGGTCATGGAGGAATGTTGCTACTGCTTTGCTCAACTTGTTCTCTTATACAATTCAGGACCACAATGGTGGTGTTACCCACAGTGGGCTGGGCCCTCACACATCAACTATTAATAAAGACAATGCCACAGACTTGCCAATAGGCCAATCTTATGGAGCCTTTTGTTGTTTTTTTTTTTTTCAGTTATGATTCCCTCTTACCAGATAAGTCTAGGCTGTGTCAAGCTGACAAAAAAAAAAAAAAAAAAAAAATCCACCAGCACAGGCATATACAAACCCACTGCCTCTGCATCTACAAACAGAACTCAGAATTCACTGATAAATGTAAAAGCAGTACTATTTTCCTAAGCCTACGGATTTTTTAACTTATCAGTGTACATACAACTATATGCCCTTGACTTCAGCTACACGTATCCTTTGAAAAATCTCTAATGACATGTTGGATACCCTGCAAGTCAATATCACCACTTGGAAAGACAGTTGTATTTTCTCTTGGGAATTCTCTCTTTTTGATTTCTGCATAAAATTATCTGATATGAGAGAAGATGGTTCTAAGCACCTCCTAAATTAAATAATAAATGTTGTAGAAATAAGAAAGTTTCTAGCCGGGCGGTGGTGGCGCACGCTTTTAATCCCAGCACTCGGGAGGCAGAGCCAGGAGGATCTCTGTGAGTTTGAGGCCAGCCTGGACTACCAAGTGAGTTCCAGGAAAGGCGCAAAGCTACACAGAGAAACCCTGTCTTGAAAAAAAAAAAAAAAAAGAAAGTTTCTAGAAATGATATGAATGTGGGTTTTACCTTCTACCCACTTGTCAAAATGGCATGGCTAGGATATATGCAGTCTAATCTCTGGAAACTGTGCCCTAAAATCCCCTTTAGAGCTCTACTTATTAGTGTTGGAAACAAACAGATAAAGCAAGAAGAAAAGATCACTTATGAGCCTGGAATTATTGACATAAGGAAATTAAGTCCAATAGTCTCATTACCAGTTTGAGTCTCTGTGGGATCCCAGGGCACTGTAGGCAACCAGAACAATGTCTTTGGACTTGCAGAACTCCAGGAGTTTGCTCTGGTTGAGATACGGGTGACATTCTACCTGTAAATTTCCAAAACAAAATGGAACCAGAACATATGAGCCAACAATGTCATGCAGGTTTTAAAACCTCAAGGCCACTTCTACATTGACTTAAGTACAATATGCTTCAAATAAGTACTTTTTCCCTGAAATACTTTTTTTTCTGTCCTTTTGTTAGCATTTTAAGATTAAAATCTCCCATTTCCAACTTGCGGTCTCTGTCAGTTCTATAGAATGAAGCTAAAGCCCATTAGAGCGATGACTGAGTATAACCGTAGGGGAGAAGACTACAAGCTAAGCCTAAGACTGTTTGCCCTCTAGAGAAGGAAGAAGTCAAAGACTTGTGAAAGGAGAGTTCAGGGGAACAAACGAGATGAGAATGAAAAGGGAGAGTGGACACACTGGATGAGGAAATGCCATGCCTTTTAACATTCAGGGATTCACATGACTTTGATCTTCTGTTATCAAGTCCTTTGCTCTGATCCTCAACATATAAGAAACCCAAAAGCAGCCTACCAAACTACCATGGTGATCAATTACTAATTTCCCCTATTATGTGGGGAACTTTAACATGCTTAAAAATGCTTAATTTCTTTCGTAAATAAGTCAAAGGAGAAAGAGAGTGAGAGTGGAAACAAAGAACAGGGAAAGGGGGAAGACAAAAGTAAGAATGGAAAGGGGACATGAATACAAGAGAGAGAACCTATTGACGTAATAAAAAATTTAATAGACATACCACCCAGCTGCAATATGTAGACTTTTTCCCCTCCCTGCTTTGAACACAGCTGGGCATAGTGACAGACACTTGGCTACTTGGGAGGCTAAGGCAGGAAGATTAAAATTTCAAGGTCAACCAGAGTATTCAGAGAGATCCTACCCCAAAATAATCTGTTAAAGAATACAGGATATAACTCAGTATTAGAGCACTTGCCTACTGCGTGTGAGGACTCTGGTTCAATACCAAGTACCAAGGAAATAAAAAGACATGATCATATTTTAACACTCAAAATATTTAGTTATACCAACCATTGCTAAAAGTGTGGGTGTTTTAACAGTGTTCTAGCAATGCTATTTTTTTAAACCATGCATTTTTAAAATATAGGCTAAAATTACATAATACCTGCCTCAAAATACTTCAAAATAGTGTGTATCTAACAAATTTGTTCAGGAAGAAATCATTGCTTGAGAGTGTTGATGGGTGTGGGTGAAGGAATTTGTCATCACACAATTCTTGGTGCCTTTTGTAGCTGCAAAAGTTAAAAGTTTTTGAAAGTTATTAAAAAAATATTTTCAATCTGAATTTAGGGACAAAACCACCACAAATTGTCGAGAGTCCCGCCAGAACAACACAGCAGCAATACAGTCTTGCTGTGCCTCACTTCAGTCCATTTATTTGTTTGTTTGTTTGTTTGTTTGTTTTAAGATTTTAGATGATTTTAAGTACAGCACATGCTGTGAGTGTGACTGAGCAGTGGTATTCCTTCTAAGAAGAGCAGTGATTTTAGTCATTCCAACTGCCTTTCCCCTGTCTTGTTCTTCCCATTCTAGTCAACCTGAACCATCACTGATATTTCCTACCTTGGTGAAAACAGCTATATCCTAAACAGCTGCTTCAAAACGGAAATTTGGGAAGTATCAAGTAAGGAAGAAGTTTGTGAGGAACAGAAGGGAAAGGCCAGCCAAGGTGAACTAAGAGCTCACCTGATTGCAAGTGGGCTTGTATTTGAGCCCTGGTTTGCCCAGAATCAATTCCAGCTGTTTGTGGTTGAAATTGGACACCCCTATGGACTTGGTTAACCCTAAGTCTTTACACTTCTCCAGTGCCTGGAGAGAAAGAAAATATATGATTAATCCTTATTGTACTCTGTCCTTTGGAGTTTCTCCTGGGACTTATTTGAACACTTACACAATAATTTCATTTATTTACATAATGATTTCATTTACTTACATAACAATTTCAGTTATAATTTCAAAACAGTGCTGTCACTTGAATACAGTCTTGCCTAATGCACTTACCTATGTGAATACATATTTGTCTGCTCATTAAATTACATGCACCTTGAGAACAACAAATACACATAAGTCTCCCATTATCTTCTCCACCCTTTTTCGTGGCATCTGTTTTGATGCCAGGCACACAATGGTTCTTTAATAAATGGCCTCATAGTCAAAGACAAAGAATTCTCAGATCTTGTGCTGGTTAAAAATGCACTGTTACATTTTTCCTATAATGTTGAAAAACTATATATGAGATAGAATATATGATGTCAGACTTCATTCTCAGTTATATCTTGCCCTGGGCTAAGACAGGTTACACTTCTTAAAGGTGTGTTTATCTGTCCTGGAATAGTGTTGTAACCCTTCATAAGTTTCTTTCTGCTGATCCCCTTTTTAAGGCTTATATCGTTGATTGGATCTATGAGACAAAGAAATGTCTACCCCAAATCACAGTTGAAATTAAAAATTAAAGTTCATTGTTAATAAATAAAGTTGCCCAGGGGTCAGAGCTATTAGCAAGCCATAGGAAAGCAGGGCAGTGGTGGCGTACGCTTGTAATCCCAGCACTTGGTAGGCAGAGCTGGGTAAGTCTCTGTGTGTTCAGGGATACAGCCATTATTGGATACACATGCCTTTAATCTCAATACCAATCATGGAAAACCTGGAGGCCTATACAGACAGGCCGTGACGAGGTAGTCATGTGGTTGGGTTTACAACCAATGAGAAGGCAGAACAGGAACTCTATATAAAGACTTTAACACAGGGGTAGCTCTGGTTCGGAGAGGTAGGACAACTGCAGGACGAAGGGTAAGGTTTTAGCTCTTAGCTCCGACCTCTTGGCTTTCTTCTTTGCATTGGTTCTGTGTTTCTTATTTAATAAGAAGGTTGGTTACATCTACAGTTCATCCCTCTCAACTCTTACCCAATAGATGAGATTATAGAAATACAGAGAAAGGTTTGTTGATGTTGTTGTTTATTCTTCTCTCTTATATTATATCCCAACCATAGTTCCCCCACCCTCCACTCCTCCCAGTTTCTCCTCCCCACTTTCCCTCTCCCCCAGATCCACTCCTCCTCTGTTACCCTATAAAAATGAGCAGGCCTCCCAGGGATATCAACTGAACTCGGCATAATAAGTTACAATAAGACTAGGCATTATAATAGATCTTAGGCTTGTCAGTTAAGGAAACAAAACCCATCTCTTCTAATTCTTTATTAATTGGTTCCTATTTTGCCACACAGTGCCTTGTGGTATCTGCAGCAGTACATACCTCCCATGTATCACAAATGTCCACTATTTCTAAAATAATTTTTCCACTGGCATCCTTTGGCAGAAGTTCCTCCCCAGGCTAGAATGCAGAGAGAAGAGAAATTAACAAATATTTTTCTCTAATAGTCAATTTCTAGTGCCTAATGAGCTTACTCATTCAACATTCAGAAGATTGTGTTAATCACTCGTGTGTGTGTGTGTGTGTGTGTGTGTGTGTGTGTGTGTGTGTGTGTGCACATGTGTGCACACCTTTCCTCTTGATTGCCTCCACTTTTCTCCCCCCTGGACTCCCCATAAATCCCTAGATTTCACCAATTATGAATTTCCATTGGAATTTATTTCTTATCCAATGACAGAATGGTGTTAAAGACAGGACTTTCATTATTAAACATGAGCTTTTGCTCCACTTTATGATGCCTCAATTCTGAGTTAATGTGTCTATCAGATGTAATCCACAAACATGCACCATAATAAGAAAATGAAGTGACAAGGCCCAAAGGAGCCCAAGCCCAAATGTCCCTTACCCAAGTTCAAATCCTGTGTCCTAGTGTGAGATATAAACATAGGCAAGAATGTGCCCTAAGGAGGCAGAGACTCCAGGGGGAGTCTCCACAATCTGGGGCACTCTGATTGATAAAAGGCAGTGAAGTCCTTGAATTTCAACCCTCATAAAGAATGGGGGATGAGCATTTTAAGAAGTTTTGACCATAGGGTTGCTCAGCTGTCATGGAAAGTCATAACCATTTAGCCATTCTGTTCTTCTCAGATAGATGTATCTCTCTCAGAAAGAGTCCAGAAAAATTTCATTGTCCTGACATAATATAACAGTCTAGGACATAAAAATTCAAAACTGACCTTCATAGCAACTGGAAAATGAACAATGCAGAGATCTACATAATCCAGCCCAAGTTTCTTCAGCGATCTCTCCAAGCACTGACGAACCAACTCTGGTCTAAGGAAGGTATTCCAAATCTACAGTTTCCAAACAAAATTACACATTGTGGTGAAAGGATTAAGACCTGCTATGATGGTCTCAACTAAACTAAGAACATCTGGGGCTAAGGTTTTATATTTTTTATTTAATTTTTTTTCATGTATTTTAATCATGAATTTCCCCTCATGCAACTTTTCCCAGATCCTCCCCAATAATGCTCCCCAAATGTATGCTGCTCCTTATAGATCACATCCTCAATAGAACACTGAGATTTATTTTAATGATGACATTGTGAGGGAAATGGCAGAATTTAAAAAACAAACAAAAAAAAAAACACAAAAAAAAAAAAATAAAAAAATAAAAAAATAAAAAAAAGAATGAAAGCCGGGCGGTGGTGGCGCACGCCTTTAATCCCAGCACTCGGGAGGCAGAGGCAGGCGGATCTCTGCGAGTTCGAGGCCAGCCTGGGCTACAGAGTGAGTTCCAGGAAAGGCGCAAAGCTACACAGAGAAACCCTGTCTCTAAAAACCTAAAAAAAAAAAAAATAAAATAAAAAATAAAAAATAAAAAACAAACAATTTAAGTGTTTCAAGAATTAGATGTTGTAGTCTCAAAGAGCCAAGAAATTATGGACTGGGAGTAGGGACAAATAGAGAGAAGCAGCAGAGATATAGCAAAACATTAAATCAGGGGACTGAAAAACATCTACTAGAAACTAACTGTGAAAGCCCCATTGAGGTAGCCAGATGGAATTTCCCACTTAAAAGTCCATTCTGGGCAGAGTGAAGAATACCCTTGGGTGAGACTTCCAAGTAACCAAACAAATAGCAGTAGATAGAGGTGACAAAAGATTGACTGTTCTTAGTAAATCCAGAACCAATTCTAAGAGATCTAGTGTAACAACAAGCTGTCACCAGTGTAAACATAAGTAGGAGATGTCTATAGAGACCTCAGCTCAGGTCACATCACACTGGAAGCCTGCCTTTCCACCTGAGAAAACATTGCAAATTTCAGTACATTCAGTGCTGATTGGAGAAAAGGATTTTCCCTTTTGTGAACATTTTCAACCTCACTTGGTAATCTACTGAAGAAATAGTTACTCAGGGCCCAGAGAGGTCAGATTATCCAACAAAACTGTTTCCTTATTTTATATCCAGGCAGTGTCTGATATTCAGAGACACTGAGTAGCTGTTTCCCACATTTAGTATACTTTGGAGCAAAGCAAGCCTTTTCTTTTTTAATTTTTTTTATTAAGTGTGTGTGTGTGTGTGTGTGTGTGTGTGTGTGTGTGTGTGTGTGCGCGCGCACGCGCGCACGTGCCCACCAATGCATGTGCAAAGGTACCACATATATAGAGGTAAGATATCAGGAATCATTTCTCTTCTCCCATGTACATTGAGGGATAAAAGGTTGCCAGGCATGGCAGCCTGTATCTTTTTCCACTGAGTCATCTTGTTGGCCCTGTTCTCTATGTTTCTATAATGTGTCTTTGCAATAAAGACATGATTCAAACTGAGACCAAAGGGGTGGTTGTGTCTCCCTTCTCAGTAATGTATCTGAATCGACAGTGGTTTGTAGCCATTCTGGTCACAAGTGCTCACCTTGGTGGTATAGAATAACTCCTCCCTCTTCACAGTTCCATCAGCCATCTTGTCCCGGAGGGCCTGTCCAACTTCTTCCTCATTTTGATAGAAGTATGCAGCATCTATGTGACGGAAACCTACATCAATGGCTACTTTGGTGGCCTCAGTAGCCTTGCTTTTTGGAATCTATGAAACAAGAGTAGGAAAAGTTGGGGATCTGATCAACTCAGAAAAAAAAGGCCATTTATTTCTTCCTAGTATTTTATCCAAGGTGCTGCCAATCCCATGGTTGATCTTGTTTGATGATACAAACCTTGATAATATATGTACAACCAATCTGGAGATACAAACTACAAAAACACTAACTTCTAAATCTGACTAATGAATTAGTGATGTAGGATTCCTATGAAGCATGGAAATGCAAGTTTCATTCAATACAGATCAGTTGTAAGGAACTAGCTATCAGGAAAGCTGCATACTGGGAGAAAAATTCTAAGGTACTCAGTAGACAGGACAGCTGTACATACACATAAGTATGTGTGGGCTGACAACTGAAAATTAGCTATTACCCATCATTCTCAATTTCCACTCAAATAGGCTCTTCAGTTCACTCAAGATTCTTTTATTCTCTTCGTTTTCCGGGTCCTTGCTTTCAGCATTCACACAGTAAGCATTTGCTGAGTGACTTCTTTTTGCCTAACACTATGTTAGGCTCTGAGCACTAGAGATTATTCATAAACAAAAGGTCTGGCTCTTCTTCTTTTTTTTATTTTTATTTTTTAAATTACACTCATGATATTCATTAATTACACTCATGATATTAATCACATTTGTGGTATTCATAGATTACATTCGCAGTATTCATTCAATTATATATATATATATATATATATATATATATATATATATATATATATATAAATTTTAAATGCCAAATGTCATTTATTGAAGGAGGGAGGAGGTCTTCAATACAGGCTTACAGCACAATGGGAGAACCCCGGAGGGCAGAAGTTCGCTACTGATGTTTTACAATCTTGCATCTAAGCTGTTAATGCCCATTATTCAGGATACACAGGCAAGGAACTTCCCTTAAGCATTTAGGAGAGTGGAACCTGGCAGGGAATTAGCATAGGGAGGATATCAAGGTCAAGGTCCGTAAGCAAGGCAACAGTTACCCAAAACGGGGGGCAGGGACCTACAGGTCCCCCTTTTATTAAAAAGTGAGCTTCTGACTTAGGTTGCATGGGACATCAGCAGGTCACCTTACCCGTCATGGAGACACCCGCCCAGGCCACACAGGTGCTCTGTCTTAGGTTGATGAGTGCCCCCCAGGCATTACCCATCTCTGAATACTCATTATCATACAGGCTCAATCATGTGTGAGCTGCAGAGTTAATTGCTGCCAAAGATCTCAAAGTGGCACTGGGCTTGCAATCTGTGTGTTCTACACAGAAAAGACCAACAGAGGTCCTATCTCACCCATAGCCAGTAGGCTAAAGGCAACTGCTGGCTCTTCTTCTTTCGTGGGGTTTCTGAGAAGAAGTGGAGGAGACAGTCATTACACAAGAAAGTATGAAAAGTGGATGGGGTAACCCACACCTATAATTCTAGCACTTGGGAGATGGAGAGGCAGAAAGATCAGAAGGTCAAGGTCATCCTTATCTACATAGTGAGTCCAAGGCCAAACTGGAATGCATGAGATCTTGTTTTAATCATCATCATCATAACAGCTCTCCATATATGCTTCAAATATCTCTATTTTGTTGTGAAAGCCACACAGAAGTGAATCTTTAGCCTTTGTAGACTCCTATGATTGCCAGGATAGATTTTAATGTCAATTAGAAACTTGATCATGAACACTGGATTGGTTAATTATCAATTAATAGCTACATAATTTACCAGGATTACTTTAATAGGTGTATGCATAAATGTATATTGTACATTATGGTGGTAAATTGCCATAGGCTGCTAAAACTCAATGAGGAGCTAGCTCTGGATACAGATTTTCCTCTCCACCAACTTCAGACACAGCATGTTTATGTCAGTTGTCCTCCAAAACTTTCTGACCTGGGTCAGGTTGACCCTCTGGCTTTGTACCAGGGAGAGGAAAATATCAAGCAGCTAACAGTATTGAAAACATGTGTCATAAAAACAGCTAGAATATAAATCATTCCCAGCAGAGGTGATTATTGTTTATCCCATGTATAGGAGGAGGAGGAGGAGGAGGAAGAGGAGGAGGAGGAGGAGGAGGAGGAGGAGTCCCATAGGAAGTTCATCCATGGAGAGAGAAAGCTAAATAAGGAACTCCAACTTACTGCCTCAACTTCCACAGTTAGTTCTTGTTGGATGCTGTGAGTATCCAATTTGATGATGTCAACTCTATCTGCTGCTATTTGTTCAGTTACTTGGAAGTCTCACCCAAGGGGACACTTCATTCTGACCAGAATAGACTTTTAACTGGGAAATTCCATCTGGCTACTTCAATGGGCTATCACAATTAGTTTCTGTTGGATGTTTTTCAGCCCCCTGATTTAATTTATTGTATATCTGCTACTTCTCTCTATTTGACCCTCATAATTTATTCTTTTACTTTTATTGCATATATTTAATAAATCATTCACTCAAAACCTAAAGTACAGCCATCATAGATGATACTCCAGACCAGTAGAATGTGTACTATTTCCTTCTAGTTTAAACATTAGTTTATTTATTCTAATATTTGTCCTTAGTGACAAAAATTGACCCATTAATTTTACATGCGAAAAATTTATATGAGTCTGTCCTTTGGTCTGCATCATAATTGGGAAGATTGAAGGGGAAGATGCTAAATCCTTATCAATAAACAAAAATACAGTGAAAGCATCTATATGTGGCAGATACCCAGAAAGCTGACAACTACTCACCTGGCCAGCTACTGTTACCAGGACAAGGACCACACCTCACTAAGCTGCTGTTGGGGACCAAAGTCAGGATAATAATATTTACAAAATTTCCTCAAATTTCAATCAGTGTATAATGTCATGATTTAATCTGTTATCCTGTGTTTGTGTTGCTCCCAGGAAACTTGGCTAGACAAACAAAGTCACAAGGCACACAACTGAGCAGGCTTTTGTTTCATCAATGATCCCACAGGGAGGTCATTGGTGGAGCAAGAGCACATTCAGAATAAAAACTTCTACTAGATTATGAAGGAAGCTTCTGTTTGTTCCTTTCTATTTCTCAAAGAGTGTATTACCTTTACTTTTGTAAGTGAAAGCACTATAGAATCCTTTTGTTGTGTTCCCTAAGATACAATTCTATCTTTAACAATAATAACAAATGTCAGTTAAAAGCTATAGAACACATATTGTATGCTTCATCTATTACAGAGGATAACTGAAATAAACTGGTTCTATCCAGTATTAATATTTCATCATTCTTCCAACAACATTGAGTAAATTGATCTCTGTCATTTGGAGACAATATTTCCCAAGCCACCTCAAAGCTTCTATTATCTGTGACTAGATTTAGACACTTTCACTGCAATGAGCTATTGGGTGGGTACATAATGTGTTTGGTAAGAAGTGTCATCCTATCCTCATTGTTTCCTTATATCTTGCAAGTCTTCGATACTAACCTATGAATGGAATGATTGTGGATTCTCATAGACATTTTTTAAAAGTTTGACTTGCATTCTAAATACTTATCTTTATGCCCATAGATTAGTGCATCTCTCAGTCTTCTTCAAAGAAGCTTCTTTTTGTCATAGACAATGACTAATACCAGGACCCACAACTATTTAAGTCCAGAGAATAGGTATCCGTGGAGTGCCACCTATAAATGGGACTTCTATATCACACCCTTTCTTCAAGAGGCTCAAGGAACATCGTGGAAGAGAAGGAAGAAAGATTGTAAGAACTAGAGATCATGGAAAACTACTGTAAAGCAGTGTCTTCTGGATGTGACAGAGCTGCTTGCATTCATGAGCTGACAGCAGCCGTGGTTGTCCGCACAAAACTTGCATATCATCCAATCCAGTCATCGCTGCAGCATGGACAGAGGATGGGCTGAGAATGCTTCACCCCCAGCTAAACTACTCTTGACAGCTAATGGCTTCTGGGAAAAAGAGAATCTGTTTTCTTCAGGCTTTTGGCCCCAAGTAGGTTGGCCATGTTCTAGTGGATGGCCTCATACTCAAGAGCATATAGTAGTATTAATTAACTTAGTAAGTTATTTAAAAAAGAGAAAAAGCAAAAAGAAGAAATAAAGTTGGGAAAGAGATGTGAGAGTATCTGAAAGGAGTTAGATGTGTGGAATGACTGGTGGATATGATCAAAATATGATGCATACATGCATGAAATTTTAAAAACCTGTTCAAATAGTTGAAAATCTCTAACAAACACATCTTCTTCAAAAAAAAAAAAAAAAACTCATAGCAAAGCTGCTATCCAATGTCCCTACTGTTAGCCATTTTCTCCCGTATCCATTGCCCATAGCAATTTCTAACCAAGAGTAGAATGCAGGAGAAGCCTGAACTTGAGATGATCAGAATTTAAAAAATTAGTAAGAACACTTACATCAAGGATTGATTACACTCATATATGTAAGTACTTAAAATATATAGTAAACACTGAGATTTGTCAGGAAATAATGTTAATAACAATAATGACAGATAATCTACCTACAAAATCATTAACCTCCAGAGCTAACATCTTGGCATCTCACCAAGCACCACTAAGGATATTCAAGCATGAACAGAAGTAATTGTTCTAGTAGACAGTGAAAGGGGAGCCCAAATGAATGATCCACTAGGAGCAGGTTCATGCATTCTGAAAGTACTTCCAGGATAACTGTTACCTAACACTTTCATTCCAAGAGGTATACTTACTTCTTCCGAAGCAAACGTGCCAAATCCAAGCACTGGCATCAAGTTTCCATCATTCAGCTGCACTGAACGACTATGCTTGAGATCCATGATATCAACAGTCCAAGTCTGACTCTTACCTTTCCCTCCTTACTAACCTGAGCTGAATAAAAGGCAAAGGTCCAGCATTCTTTATTTCTGTCAAGGTAGGCGGGGCCTAGATTACAAACTCTGAAAAGCTGGAGTGAGTCCACTGGATTTCTGGTAATACTTTCAAATCTCTACAGGATTGTCTTACAGGAAACACACACAGAAAGTTTATGCATTAGAAGACATTACATTTTCAGCTCCTAAGCTGAAAAGCTACCTGTGATAATCTGCACCTGATAATAACACCAGACTTACTTTATAAGATGCAAAACTATCATTAGGGTGTTAGATTCTAACCACGAATTCTGCTGCAGAACCTTCATTAACTTCCTCACTCTCTGTTTGTTTTATAAATCCTATCAAAAAAGTACTTTCTAGAATTTCTCAAAGCTGGATTTCTCGGCCCAAGTACACAGACAACAAAATTCCTTTGAAATATTCACCTTTAATTTGGTTATCTAATAATCTTTTTCCCTGTGTTAAGGCTTCATTCAAAATTCAGATTCTATTTAGCTTCTTTAATCATTTTATTCAAGAAAAACTAGATTGATAGCACAGGTTACTATCTGGATTGTTGCCTTTGTTGAAATGGTTGTCTATTTTCAGAACAGCCAGCTGACCTCAGTCACTATCAAACTTGGGAAACCTGCTCACTATGCTCAGCATCTGTGCTTGAGTCTCAGGTTCTTCACGACTCCTGCAGTCTCATTGGATAAGATTCATCATGCTTTCTTGGGTCACCTTACATTGTTCTCACACCTATTAATGCAGTTCAAAAACACAAGGTGGCGAATTATACTCTAAATTAATCCCGAAAGTCAGCTAGAACCAGAAAACCCTAAGTAGCACTTTGTTCAGTATCACAGTTATGTCACACTTCCTCAGCTTGAAATTCTACAACTGCTTTTCCAATAGCACTACAATTTATCTAGTTATTTACCGTCCATCCCGATCCCTTGGCAGAGTCAGAATTTTGCCTGATTTTATTAATCCTTTTATTGTGTATTATCCCAGAATTTTATCAGATATAAATTTAAAGAGTACACACTTTGTCTTTTCTTTGGCTCAACTGTTAAACTAAACAGAAATAAAGTTACATTCTATGAAAAAGCTAAGCACTAATATAGCCTGAACAGAAAGAAGCAATGGCCAAGGAAGAAAAGAAGAGACTCATCCTAGGCACAAAGAAAAACTGAGTAGTCAAGGGACATGCTGACAACGAATAGAATGAGGATTTGCTTCCTCTCTTACAGTGAATTATGATGTTCTTTCTACATGAACAAGAAGACATCACAGTGGTGGATGTAGAGTTGATGCCTACAAAGCTTCTATTTTTCTCTTTCAACTTGGAGTTTATAATGAGAAAAAAAAACTAACCAGAAGAAACAAGGAACCAGAAGCAGCACTCTGTGCTTTCCTCTGAGAAATTCCTGATAAATGGCTAAAAGGTAGAAAGGAGTGGATCCCACAGCAAAAGCACTCAGTAACCAGGAGAAACCTGCCATACTGAAACATTATCTTGTGTCAAAGCCTCAGAGGAAAGGGTCAGGGGAAAAGAGGCTTCTGCCTGAGTCCCTGGAAGATGCTGAGTCAGGGAGAGTCAGCAACATTCAGAATTATGCTTAGTCATAAGCTGTACAGAAGTTGTAAAACCATTGAATGGTGAGAAGTCTGAGCCTGTTTACCTTCATTCTAGGTGTTCCTTCCTTGTCACTGTTTTTCTTTGTGATTCCTACTACTATCTGAAAGGTTCTTGTGGTTAGCTCATTTTAATTCATTATAAGAATTTAATCCTACCTATCAATGATCATGGGAGATCTTTCCATTTTCTGATATCTTCTTCAATTTCTTTCTTCAGGGACTTAAAGTTCTTGTCATATAGGTCCTTTGCTTGCTTAGTTAGAGTTACCCCAAGGTATTTTATATTATTTGTGGCTATTGTAAAGGGTGATGTTTCTCTGATTTCTTTCTCACCCCATTTGTCATTTGTATATAGGAGGGCTACTGATTTTTTTTAATTGATCTTGTATCCTGCCACATTACTGAAGGTGTTTATCAGTTGTAGGAGTTCCTTGGTCAAATTTTTGGGGTCACTTACGTATACTATCATGTTATCTGCAAATAGTGACAGTTTGACTTCTTCCTTTCCAATTTGTATCCCCTTGATCTCCTTTTGTTGTTTTATTGCTCTAGCTAGAACTTCGAGTACTATATTAAATAAATATGGAAAGAGCAGACAGCCTTGCCTTGTTCCTGATTTTAGTGGAATCGCTTTTTTCTCTCCATTTACTTTGTTGTTGGCTGTTGGCTTACTGTAAATTGCCTTTATTATGTTTAGGTATGTTCCCTGCATTCCTGATCTCTCCAGGACCTTTATTATGAAGGGGTGTGGGATTTTGTCAAAGGCCTTTTCAGCATCTAATTAAATTATCATGTGTTTTTTTTTTCTTTGAGTTTGTTTATATGGTGTATTACATTGACAGACTTTCATATGTTGAACCACCCTTGCATCTCTGGGATGAAGCCTACTTGGTCATGGTGGATAATTGTTTTGATGTGTTCTATATCACAGACTCAGAAAGACAAACATGGTATATACTCACTCATAAGTGGATACTAGATGTAAAGCAAAGGATAACCAGACTTCAACTCAGAGCTCCAGGGAGGCTAGCTAGTAAAGAGGACCCTAGGAAAGACACAGGAATTGCTCAGCAATGGAGAAATGGATGAGATCTACATGAGCAAACTGGGAGTGAGGGGGAGGTAATGGAGGGCAAAGGTCAGGGGAAAGAGAGCTTAGGGGGGCAGGAGGTCCTAGCTGGGTCAGGAACAGAATGGAAGAACAAGGAAAAAGATACCACGATAAATGAAGACACCATGGGAATAGGAAGAATCAGAGTGCTATAGAGGTCCCCAGGAATCCACAAAGATGACTCCACTATAGATTACTGGCAATGGTTGAGAGGGTGCCTGAGTTGACCTATTCTGGTGTTCGGATGGCCAAAGACCCTAACTGTCATGATAGAACCCTCATCCAGTACTGATGGAAGCAGATGCAGAGATCCATGGCCAAGCCCCAGGCGGAGCTTCAGGAGCCCAATCGATGAGAGAAGGGATCATATGAGCAAGAGATATTGAGAACATGATTGGAAAAAGTACAGAGACAACTAGCCAAACGAGTGGAAACACATGAACTGTGATCCAATAGCTGAGGAACCCGCATGGAACTGGACTAGGCCCTCTGAATAAGTTAGACAGTTGTTTAGCTTGAACTGTTTAGGGGGCCTCCAGGCAAAGAGACCAGGACCTGTCCTTAGTGCATGAGCCAGCTTTTTGGAACCTAGTGCCTATGCTGAGACACTTTGCTCAGTCTTGGTACAGGAAGAGGGGATTGGACCTGCCCCAACTGAATGTACCAGGCTCTACTGACTCAATATGGGAGACCTTACCTTGGAGGAGGTGGGAATGGCGGGTGGGTTAGTAGGGGAAGACTGAGTGGTAGGAGGAGGGAGAACGGGGGAATCCATGATTGATATGTAAAACAAATAGAAAATCTCTTAATAAAAAAATTTAAACCATACTTAATAAATATTAAAACTCAAAAAAAAGTTAGGCTAAGAATCTCAGAAAGACAAGGATTCTGTGTTTCTCTCACTTGTGGTTCTTAGATTTTTTTTGTGAAGATATATAAAGTTGTGTGTATATGTTTCTACGTGTGTATTCTAAACATACACTATGGGTTTTCTAAACGTACAATAAATACATTTACAAAAGCTTAAAATGATTAAAACATAGATTTTAAAAATCAGATTAAGAGATACAGCTTTCCCTTGAGTAATCAAATAAGTCTGGATTTTTCTTTAGAGAAAAGTCAATTTCTTCCATTTCCATGAGCCTCCAAGAGACTCTCATGGCCAAGCATGTCATTCCTGTGAAGGCAAGCCTGCAGTCCAGGCAAGCATTTTAGCCACGTCAAGTAACAAGCATGGCAGCCCACCAGTCTATCAAATGATAATGCTGTTATTGAATAGACAGCGAACTGACTCTAAGCGGGAAAGAGAGCTGTAGAGAAACATGCGAAATACTTTTTCACAAAGTCAGAGTGAGTCAGCAGTATTCAGGACTTTATAAAATCATAGTTTTACAGAAGCTGAGAAATTGTTGGATGCCAATGGGATTAAAATTTTGATTGTGTGATTGTTTTGAAAACAATAATAGACTATGAGTCACCTACAGTGCAGTGGTATCTCATTAAGGAAAGAAATCAAAACGCTTCTCCTTGGTATCATTTAGCCAAGAGCAAACCCAAAATGGAACTCTGCTTTGCAGTCCCTGTGTCCTTCAGTCTCCTCTCTGTCTGTTGTATGAGTTTAAATCTGTGCCTGTCTGAAGGCTGTACTGTCAATCGGTCCCTGTCTCTTCATCTTTGTCTGTGCCTGTGTGTCTGTCTGTGTCTAATTCATCACATGGGGAAGGAATGAAGGACTATAAAGAAATCTTTAACAAAGTTCTAAAATAGATTAAGTCTCTGACTCCAACTGCCCCCAACTGACCCAGGAGCAAACAGTTCTCAAACATCATTGTTTACCAAACAAAGTCTATATGTATGTTGTGTTCAACATTTAGGGTTGATGATTATTTTATAAGATTGCTTTCAACCTCTATTTTTTGCTGTTTTCAGCAAATAATTATCAGAACACATTTTAATTACTGTGTGGAAGGGGCAGGAGAAAGTACAAACTTTAAGATTACAGCTCAACATTAGCTTAGGTTGCAAAGTAAACGTTGATTATCTAAGAAATCCGAGACAAGTAAGGTTGGTTCTTACATTGTTCTCCTAAGGAGGGGTGAACAAACAGGATAAGTACACAGGGGTACTCAAATGACCTCAAGATTTTTACTAACTTTGATTAATAACAAATTAACCAAATGAGGTACAGAAAAGCTCCAGTCTCTTAGAA